CTTACTCGTTGAACTTCATAAATTGTCCCATAGGCCACTTAACTTTGATCCATCCAATCCCATCACTCACCCGATTAGAACCGTTAACAGATGAGCCTATGTGGATGACGGTAAGATAATTTGGCTGGGTAAGTCCTTACCCAAAAAAAAACAAAAAACAAAAAACAAAACCCTTACCCTTGAAATCAATTTGCTCCAATTCAACTCATGAACCCTAACTCCTGAAATCGATTCAATCGGTGATAAGAGTGTAAGAAAAGCCAAAATCCGACTGACAGGATATACTAATCAAGTCTTCGTTGCTGACCGACTATTATTTGAACTGCATTGAAGGTAAATTTTGTCCATAATTGAAATGTAGAATCTCCAAGATTTGTCTCTCCAAACGATCTGATTTAAGGTATTTGGTTGATTTGTGAAGTGTTCTCATCATTTCCATTGAACAATTACGAAATTTTCACAGTTATTAGGCATTCCAATTTTTTACTTTTTTTTTCCAAAGATTTATCAAACTATTATAGATTTTTTCCAATTGGTACGAATTATTTTGAGTCAACAAGCATTCCAATTTACTCATGTATAATAACTTGAATTGAGAAGATTTAAGTATGTTTCAAAAAACAACTAAACCTAAAATTACGTTATTTCTCTAAAATACAAAAATGGAGGTAGGTATGAAATCAGTCCTATAGGCCCACAAAAATGGGGATATTCCTTCATCTGAATCTTCCATGTGTACGCCTTCAACACTGTAGAACAATGGCCGATTGTGTGATCAAATACTTCGCAATTTGATTTTTGGGAGTTTATGGTTTTGTAAGTGAAGATGGGGATTGTGAAAGAGAAGGATGGCCAATTGTCGTTCACATACTTCTAATTCGATTTCGGGGGTTAGGGTTCTTGATTTAAATTTAGGGATCAAATGAGTTGGGAATGATGCATTCTCACAGCGGTAGGGCTCTTCGCAATTTGGGCAAGAAAATGAAAGAGAAATTAAGTTTTGATTTCGTCCAGTCTTGAGTGGAAGAATGGTGAAGTTGCGTGTAGTTAAATGAATATTAATTTTGCTGATGTGGAACCTAAGTTGGGACTTGCCACACCACTTGGAAGATTTTAACCAGCCAGATCATTTTACCATCATCCACATAGGCTCGTCTATTAACGGTTCTAATCGGGTGAGTGACGGGATTGGACGGATCAAAGTAAAGTGGCCAATGAGACAATTGATGAAGTTCAGTAAGTAAGCCGTGACATAGTATAAAGTTCAATGGTCAATGAAACATTTAACTCGTTAATTTATGACCGATAAAAATATGTGACTTAGAAGAATATGAGATCGTGACTCAAAATTTGTTAAATTGTGATTAATTAATTTGATAAGTTGTGATCATAAAATACGTTGTGACCTATAATTTTTTTTTTTTGGTAATAAAAAAATAATTTGTGAACAACTAATTTGAATTTGCGATCTAAAAATAAGTTGTGACCTATAAATACATAATTGTGATCATAATATATTTAATTAATAAAATATATTTTAAAATAATTATTTCATAAATAAAATTTAATTAATATCTGATTTTTAAAATTATAAGTCTTGCTTCTTAATTTTGAAATAGGTCATGCTTAATCTCTTAAATATGTAATCTTCCCTATTTTCGTTTCATAAATGTTGATTGGAATACTTTGCTTTTTAATATTAGAGTAATTTTTAGGAAGTTGGTGACATACACCTTGTTCTTTCTTCATTGTTAATTTGACTAATCTACTTTTAAATAGGTACAACACATTAAGCAATACCAACTTTTGGTGTTTCTTGTAGTAATATTTTATTATGTCTAAATTGTTAGTATGTTGAGCAAAAGAGAAGACAAAATTCACGCAAAGTAATAGTTGATATTTATGCCAGATTAGTTTATTTGTTGGTAGTTTAATATCGGAATAATTTTTTTTAATTTGATAATGGTTGAAAATATGTGCGTTAATAACTGGGCAACTACAACGGGTTGTGCTTTAACTTAGGGACATCTTTTGGATAGTAGCAAATTTATGTTTTTGTTTGATCCAACTAATCAAGCATGTTGGGTACATTAACTATGTGCTTGTTCAAGTAAGACCTAATTGATGTGTGACGGTTACAACGGGTTGTGCTTTAACTTAGGGACATCTTTTGGATAGTAGCAAATTTATGTTTTTGTTTGATCCAACTAATCAAGCATGTTGGGTACATTAACTATGTGCTTGTTCAAGTAAGACCTAATTGATGTGTGACGGTGCTAAAATTACTAGAATTCTTGCAACAAAAATGCGATTAGACCTGTCATGAGTCACTAATTTGTTCTTTAGTGCAGTAATGATTGAATTTGTGTTCTGTTTACCCACCTCAATATTTGTAATGTGGTTCATATGAACGGACGAATAAAAATAACTTTCTACTTAAATTTGCATACAACTTTTGAATGCTCTTCCGACCTTTTGTTGGCAGTTAATGAATCTTCTTCGTATTATTAAGTGCAAAAAATGGTATTTCAAAATTGTTGTATGCATTTGTTCGACTCAAGATTATTGTAAGTGATGCATTTTAAAATTGGATCGATAGATTGCAAGTGGATAAAGTTGGCCACCTGGACAGGTTTTCTCCCCAAAAAAGAGAGGAAGAAAAGCTCATATTTTGTCACTTTTTTACGTTTGGTTTACTATCCAGGAAGTAGAAGCAAATTCAAGAAACTAAACCCAGGTTAGCCTTTTTTTTCTCTCTCTCTCTCTCTGGTCAATAATACGTGTGAATTTGTTTATGTCACTTGGTTGTGAATGGACAAAGGGTCTATGAATTCTTGAAAATTTATTTGTATTTTGGCATATAAACAACAGATTTTTGATATGGAAGTGTTTGATCCTTATGTATGGCTTCAAGAAAGTGAAGATTGAATGTTTTGGACTATGATTTGTTGTAACTTGTTTAGGGAACTCATCAAGTTCTTATGAATTTGGTGTTCCAAAATTCTGTGGCTCTGATTATTCGAATTGGTTTAACTTAAAATTTTACGGTGGTTCTATTAATTTGTTTGATTCTTCTTATGAATTACCTTAAATTACATTGAAGACAGAACTCTACAAATTCTTATTTGATTTGCTCATTTTCTGATTATTATTGCTCGCAAAACTAGCAAATAGGCTAAATCCATAAAACTCATGAATTACGGGATGCTGTTAACAGTATTCGGTACAATGGTCAAGTCTTTTACCTTCAAAACTAGTGCTCCCATATTTGCAATACAAATGAAGGTGATGAAATTTTAATTTCCGTCTAGAAATGAGGGAAACAATAGTTTTATAGCTAATTAAGAGTAGCGGGATAGAATGACTAGGGTGTTCTCTTCTGTACCAATCTTCGATTATAAGTCTGTTCAGTCTTAAGTATCTTAGCTGTATTCGAGATTATAGAAATGAGGCTCCTTGTTGATGCCATGTAATTTTCTTATTTCAGTAAACAAATTTTGGCTGTTATGTGATTTCCCTCGTAGGTGAGGTCTAACATTTGATTTTCTAAAATTCATCATTCTCCAATCTCATTTTCAATCACATATTTCATATAATTCACAATTTTTTGTTAACTTCTCAATTACACGTTTCATCATTTTTTATCAAAATTTACTAAAAAATTGATGTTTAGCTAAATCAAACATGGGCTTAATTTGTTGGGTTGTGCTGTGTGTACACAATGGTGTACACATAGCTTTACACCCTCCTCACATGAAGAAAGGCCCACATGTAATAAAATATTCGTTAGCCCCCCTCTATCTGAGGGGGTGTAAAGTTGTGTGTACATCAGCATTTTCATAATTTGTTAGATAGCCTTAATTTGAGCACGTATATGTCCAATGCTTATGTGTTTGATGTTCAAATCGCTCCCTTAATTTGAGCATATTTGTAAGCAAAGATTTGTGCTTAAACCCCATCCTCATGATCCATTCTTTTTATGTTTACTGCTTATTTCTAATAGCACAAGTTTAATAAGAATTTGAGCATTACACTGTGCAGTTATGTTTAGAGTGAATTTGCTTCGCTTGACAAGTACAAATTCATATAAAAATTATTTTGAAGGAAAATCTTCATTTATCTAATAAAGCTGAAACTAATGTGATTATATGACATTTTCAAAGGACGAAAAAATAATTCCAAATTTTTTGATAATTAAAAAACGAGCAAATCATATACTGATTTACAGAGTTTTGTCCTCTATTTTAAACATAACAAAATACACTTACGTTCTACCCACAATGAAAAATCTTATTTTGCCCACTTTATAGAGAACTTTACTTATGGTTCCTCTCGTGCCACGACAGCAAGTAGACAATCTAATGTTTCTTGTCCACTGTGGATAGGAGAACAATTTCATAACAAAATAATAGTCCAATGAAACATCTAAAGTTGGTATTGCTAGATATGTTATATAGATTTAAAAGTAGACTGATCATATCCTATATTTCTGCAATCCATCAAACTCTTAACAAGATAGAATAACTAAACCCAACACAATAATGGATAACCCAAATTAACAATGAAGACATAACAAGGTGTATGACCCCAACTTCCTAAAAATTCCTCTAATGTTGAAATGCAAGGTATTCCCATCAACATCACGAAACGAAAATATGCCCCACTCTAAATCAAATTTAAGTTATGCAGCAGTGGTAACATAAGCTCAAATTTAACTGCAGCAATACAAAGTTTACTAAGAAACTCAACTGATAAACAATCGCATGTATTGTAACTAGCAAAGCCCATAATACATTAGTACAATCGTAAACCATGACTTTTAAAATTAAATTAAGTTTAAGAGATGTACTCTACACGAGAAGTATATTATTCACTAACACAGAGAATCAGGATGGAAGCAAAAGCTCAAAATAGAAAAGCACTAGTAAACCAACAAGACAAAACCACAAAAATCACACAAAACCACAAAAATCACACACATCATAATAAATAAATTCTAGTTGAATATTGACACTTGTCAACTTTTGTTCCACAATAAAATGTCTTTCATTGTTTTAACAGTTGGAGAAATCAATGATAAAATTGTGCGCCACATAGTACAATGTGAAACAGAATGTCAACAAGAATGTATGTGTAGCAAGATTGAACAACTAAGCCCTCAACTTTCATTCTCAAACCTAAATTTAATATCTATTTCCTTATCCCATGTTTGGTATAGCTACAAAAGTTATAAAATCTAAATCAAAATTAACAATTAATTTTAACCTCAAAATGCATAATTCTTGAAATTTTAATAATTGATGGACAACCATGAATTTTAAGTTAAAGAATACCTTACTCTTTCTTACTTTGCATCTTACATCAAAGATTAATCCCATGTAATATGTATGTATTCCCTCTATATGGGAACAACCTGTTCTCAGCTCCAACACACCACAGATGGCCCTGCAGCACCAGATCTCCTTTCATCCCTGCTGTTTCCATCACAAACTTGAAAACCCCAAGAGCCCTATCCAGTTGCTTCACCCCAATCTGAACTGCCTTCTCCTCATCTGATGTCAAAATCTTCCCCATGTATAAGCAAAACTTATTCTCACCATCAAGTTTATGAACTCCCCCTCTAACGTCTACTTCAATGTCTTTCACACAGCCGTGAAGATAGTACAACAAAAGGGTAAACAAACATCGAGATGAATGACCTAATGCCTTTGTCAATTTCTTCTGCACTAAATTTTCTTGATGTCGGACCTCCCGATATCCAATATTCTTATCCATCAAGACATCCCTAATCTGATATAGTCCTTCTTTCATGACCTCAAGCTTCGTAACATGCAAAATTAGTCTCTTTTCTTCACTTAAGCAGTTAATAAGATCAACTAACATCTCAAGAACATCTTCCCATTTGTAAGAAGGAGACAAATCCTCACCTTTTGTAGGCATGAGGCGCATCCATGAAGTTGACTCTGGGTCAGGCAATATAGCAGAATCTAATAACTTCTTACAACTCGCAACTATTTGCTGTGCCAAGTTTATCTCTTTACGTTTGCAGCAATGAATCAGAAAATCAATCTCAGATTTCAATCCATTCAGTACATCCTCGAGTGCACCAGTCCATATCTGGTGCTGTGTCACTTGAGGGCATATTGTATGCCTTACAATCTTCCTTTGCTGTGCAGAAATGTTCAAAATGTCAGCCACTTTGGTCAACGAGCTCAAAGTAATTGGATCCCTTTCGCTTGGTTTAGTAAAGCACTGAAATTCTCTGCATCGTGGATCATCAGCAAATGAGGTCATCAAGTTCTTCCTCATCGTTTCTTGAACCGAAAAACACCCAATAAACGCTCTAACAAGAGACTTGAGTGTTTGCATTTTGTGCTCCAGCTTATAGTCGAAAATTCTTGAATCGTCATTGAGATTAATTAGTCTTCCATCAATCAAATCTACATTTTTCAACAATTGACTCAATTTTGTTAGCTTTAAGAAAGCCTTCTCATACCATTCAGAAGACAAAGCCTCTTCTTCTTCATGGGGTCTTTCTTCTGAATGATAATACACCAGTCTCAAATTGGTTCCCAGGTTTTGCCTATTTCTAAAATGCTTTGCTCCTAGAAGAAAATTTTGCACACATTTGACAGCCATTTTAAGCTTGCTTCTCACATACTTACAAACGAGCCTGCAACATCAAATTCTATAAGTGCTTGCTACACAGCCCAGGACAATACAATAGAGGAGTTTTTGACTTCACGTTCTTCAATAATACTGTCTATAACTGTATAATTTACGTTACCAAACAAACAATATAAATGGCTATTTTTTGATGATTAACAATGGCATTTTATCAAACACGTTATGCCCATTTAACTACATTGATGCACAGCATTATATTTCAAAAAACCAAGGTAGAAAATCAGGCATTGGAAGCTTAGGAAGTGCGCAAACAAGGATTTTGAACCTCAGATAGAAATAAAATCTGATCATCTAAGCATTTTGTTGTTTGAAATACCTTTAATACTTGAAACTTGAATAAGAACCTATACTGGCAGAGAATCTACTTTGATAAATTCCATTTATACCTACCTGTTAGCATCAGGGTAAACAAAAAAAAGATATGAGCGCATCGGAGCAAGTCAACCTGTTTGATATTGCGCCAACATTGAGCTTTGAGAAATATGTACTAGATTTTGAGTTGGCACAGAATATGCGATGATTTTCTTGTTGCTTCAATAAATTTGCACATGATTTACAATAAAATTTTCTATTTTACGTTAAAAAAATTTAATATTCATATTTCGGATAATCTGCAATTAAGATAAAATAATGTGGTGCTTGAAAAACATGCAAGAGCGTATTATTCCAATATAGATGTTGACAATTGAAAGCTATAAAAGTTTAAACTTCTAATGTGAACTTCGATTTTCTTGTCAAAATTTAAAAGCTTAATAACATTGTGTTTATATTGGACAATTGAATTATTGAATTTGAGAATCAAAACTGATAGAAATTTAAACTGATGAACTTTGGGATTCTAAAATACTGGAATTTGTATAACTTGAAAAATGAGTAGTTATAGGACTTACAAAATATATTTTTACTAAATAAATAGTTATCATAGTAACATACTCATGATACTCTAGTACTTTAAGAACCCTTAATTTTGTACTTGTTATTTGGAAATTTCTCACACTGAACCAATTTGCAAACTTGTTATATTTAAACAAAGTGCCAACCAACAATGATATATAAATTTATTTACAAATTGTATCGTGTTATGTCACATCATGTTTACCAATTTTCTACACGTTCATTCAATTCTTTGATGTAATGAAATTTCATGAACAATGCAATATAAATCATAAAATATGATAAAGTAACACTACATACCATGCGTACACATTTGGTCCATAAATCCATATTCTTGACTTATATGGTTTTGCAAATCAAGAAGTCATTGGTTTTCCCACAGCTGGAATTAGAAAGTGATATTTTCTCTAGGATACTAAGCCCTTCTTTCGTAGGAACTCTTTAAAACTCATTTTTCAACCACATATTCGTAACAACGATCCAATAAAATTAAAACCCTAACAAAAATATCAAAACTAAAAAATAATTAAATTTTGAAAAATGTTCTTGAACCTGCATAAGAATTGTGATTGCCCACATCGACATCTTCAAGCATGTAGAGCAGAGGTGGAGCCACCTTGGCCACTGGATTTTGGCCCTGGGTGTTTCGCCTATTATACTTGAGGGGCAGCCAGTTCTCTACGCAAGGAGAAAAACATAAACAACAGCATCAAAATTTCAAGATAAATGTTATCTAGAGGAAGATTTCCATCTAGGAACAACAATCAGATCACGTGCGATTTCAGCATATAAAGCCCCTGTTAACACTAAAAAATCCGAGCACGCCTTCCTAATTTGATGATGAAGCAATTTAGCAAGATAAACTTGTGCCAAGTGTTGATTTGTTCCCAATTTATAGTGTTATATATACGAGGAAGAAAGCCTACGCCGCTTCTCCTTCAAGGCTTTCGATTGGGGCTACTATCAAGTATCAAATGACAGGAAAATTTCACAACTGGGTTATTATCAAATTCCAATCCACTTTAAAATGGGCCTCAATCAAGTGATTAAAAAAATAAAAAATTGGACCAATCAAATATTTAACTGTTACTTTTGATAAAGTCCTTGTTTGTTTTTCGTTCTTTCCCTCATTAAAATAAAAAATATAACCGTTATCATTATATTAAGTCACAAAATGTGAATTTCTATCTCTTGTATAAGACTCATAACGACTATATTTTTCATTCTTATTTTTACAAAAAATGGGAAACAAATGTCGCTAAATTAAGATTAACAAAATAAATTGTTAAATAACATATTTAAAAATTTATTAAAATAAAAAAATTTAATTTTCTTTTTTTTTTTTAACATTTCTTATATTGTTTTCATAATTATGGTAATATAAATTATATATTCTCTTTTTCGTCGTGATATAGAGAGAGTGAATTGTTCACTGGATTTATACTAAGAAAAAATATTATTATCTTTAATGGTTAAGAGGGCCACACATTCGTGGTCATAATTATGCAATATAAAAGGGATACGACTCATAATATCCGATTAAATATCACAATTGTCACATTTAACAATCATTTACATATACATGAACAATCGCTTATAATTATTTGTCATGTCTCACGTGAACTCATTCCATATGAATTGATTGTTGTTATACGATATGGAATGCGTAAGAGTCATAAGTGTTTTTTTTTATTAAACAGTCCATCTAAGATCACTATGATGACATATGATTACGTGAGAGAAGGAATGACATGCCCCATTATAGAAGTCAAAATATATTTTCAACATTTTCATCTAGTTATTGTAATGGCTATCCATAAATTGTAGAGATTTCAAATATTATTGATTCAAGAGTTAGCAACTTGTTTTTTTTGAAAAAATGGAGGATTGAAATGATATATTTTAAAGATTGAAGATTAGGGCTATCTATTTTTCCCCGCTAGGGATGACACAAAAAATCGCTTATAACCATAGGATTTGTAGCAGGGAATCCCCGCCTATTTAAGTACATAGAAAGGGGACGAGGGCGGGTACGAGGAATACAAGCTTAAAGTTCATTTTAAAATATAAGTTCTTTATCGTATAAAAAAGAAAAGAACCATCATCATTTTTAAAAGGAAATATATTTTTTCTACAATTAAAAAATAAATAAAATTACCAACTAAAAACATAAAAAAAAAAGAGAGAGACAGAAAACCCCTGCCCCACTATACCCCCGCCTCGACGTTGTTTTAATCGGATATGGGGACAAGGTAAGGAGACAAAAATACTGGACAGGGTGATGATGGGAAATGACCGTCCCAACCTCAACCTCGACCTCCCTCCTATTGTCATCCCTACCCCTTGCAACTAAACACTGTTGCGAGAATTAGCCCGTACAAAATGCATTTGGAATTTAAATCTTCAACTAGCAAAGTGTGGACTAGCCCTCTACGACCCACTCTCATATTCTCTTACAACTTCATTGATTATATCGATTAACTATACTCGTTGGTGTAGATAGAACTTTAATGGGGACGTGATGTAGTTATGAATTTCTTTTTCCTTTTTTTCAAATATTGCATTGATATAATAACATTAAAATCCCTTCGTCAAAGGTCTAGATGTGTGAGGCATAAAAGTGGTCAAAGGTTAAACTAACTATATGGCCTATATATTTGCCAAAACTTTGAAGAGATTTGCTCTAGACGCTAGAAATATAGTGCTTGTTTGGTGGAGATTTTGATAATTGATTTTTTAATTGTTAGAGATAAAGTGAATCCCACCTGTGAGAGACAAATTCAAAAATGACAGATGAAATAGTGAAATAACGGTCAAAATTTTGATTTTAATTGACTTTTAAACTATATCAAACAAGTTCATAGAGGGATATTTGTTAGATAATTTTAAGATAAAGAAGAGAGATTAAAAAAAACTCTATAACTAGAAGTCTCATTTGAAAAGATATCAGAAACTTGTAATAGTTGAATAAAAGTTCTTATAAACATAATTTGAACCATAAAAAGATCTTATGAAATTCATATTTTTCTTCACAAAATGGCATATTATATATATCATCCTCATTTTAGATGATAAATATGTAAGAAAAATGATTAGAAATTTATGTGATACTCAAATCTAGGAAGTCAGTAATATTTTTAAAAAGTGAAGGGATATCTTTGATATTATCTTTATTTTCCTTAATGCGAGGACGATAGTTTGTCCTTGTTTGTGCCCCATGATTTGTAAGTAATGTATTATAGGATAGTAATTGATGTTGAAATGTGTGGTTAACAAAGAATAAAAAAATTTTGATTTACGTGTAATATTATTTTAATGAAAAATGTGTAATTGAAAATGAGTTGTAGAAAAAATAATGTGGTAGAATGTAGAATAATAGGGTACAAACAAACACTTGTATACTTTTTAATTTCAAACATGTATACTTTTTAAAACACTTGTATCAATGAACTTCAAATGTTGTGGGTTGAAATTATTTTTCAGTTTGACATCTATTATTAAAGCTGTAAATTTCATTCTTGAAAAACATTTTAAGTTAAAAGAAAAATATTCATATGTTAACCATCCAAATACCAAAGACCACTTTATCTTTCCCCACCGGTACAAATCAAAGCTAGATTTCCACTACAAATTATTGGCATCTTCGTAACTAAGACCACAACGTGAATATAGAATTTGATGACTCCAAAAAATGCGTTAACAAAATCCCGAGCTCGCCCCCTCCATGTATATATCAGATGCACATTGAATACTCCATTAGAAGGCAAAGGCCACCTGTCGAGAAAATTGTCCGACAATCGTATGCACATCAACAGTCAAGTCAATAGCCAGACGAAAGAGAAATGAGTGCAAGAGACGGGAGAGGTATTTGGTAGGGTTGGAATAACATACTTTTGATTGTGAATGAAGCTTACATATATATAATAAAAAATGTAAATAGGCCAACTGTTGCTAATGAGTCAAGTTCCAAGCCCAAGATGATGCTTCTTGATTTAACAGGCCCGATCAAATTAAATAGTCGATGCCACGTCAGCATCTATGGGATCCCCGTCATACTTATGCCACGTAATTTATAGGTATAACAATAGTCCCCCAAGTATGAATTGTACATTCATGCGCAAGTCGAACTTTGAAATACGTGATGTCAAGTGGGTGAAGTCTTATAGATTGCCTTAAAAATATGAGCAGCTCCAATAAATGAGGGGCCTACGAATTACCTCAAAAATATAGGCGAGGACTTACGAATTGCCTCGAGAATATAAATCGCTTCAATAAGTGAGGATTTACAAACTGCCTCAGAAAATATCTATGCGAGCCTGAATAAGCTTGGGCTTACATATTGCCTCAAAAGATGTTGCATATAATTTATCGAAATTTCGACAGCATCTCCTCTGCAACATGGACTAAATCAACCTGCAATACAACATAATTCTCTCACCTCACATATATGAAATAAATTAGGATTCATTTGCCCCTCAAATTACTGATGACGATAAAGTGTATAATAACATATCAAATTTCTCTAAGATACAATATGCATAAAGCCTATCATGTGTCATAGCATGTCATATACATGCACAAGTTAGTGTAATAGTAGTGCTATAGTAAAGCAAGCAACATGCTGATGATAATAAAATGATAATGTGGATAATGAGGCATACGTATTGGTTGTGGCGAAAATAGTGTTATCACAAACTAGCAATAATATGACACTCGTACTTGGCAACAATAATATAATGCATATGCTAGTAGTAATAATATAATAATGCCAAGATACTAGTGTCGCAATAGTCCCCAAGTTAAAGTCGAATATTTATATGAGGGTTGGACTTGAAATATAAGTCACTGTGATAAAGCTGATGCGGAGGTGAGCTCTGAATATAAGCAGCAGAGGCGATGCTCTGAATGTAAGTAGTAAATGTGATGATCTGCATATGAGTAACAAAGGTCATACTCATAATATATATAGCTGTGATAAGCTGACATCCTTACATGGAGGTGACACATTCATGTCAAGGGCTTCCTCTATGATATCTGATCCAGCTATGTAAGGGGATAACCTCTAAGATAGCATGTTGTGACTCCTTGTGGAAGGCATCACACTTGTTCTAGTCGAGGCTGTTTTACTTCCTTGCAAGGGCTTCCTTCATGGTGCTTGATCCGGCCATGGAATGCTTTGTCTTCGAAGGTATTAAGATGGGCCCACCCTTTTTCCTTATGAAGTGGTGAGTGACATCCTTGCATGGTAGATAGTCCATCCATGCCAAGGGGCAACCTACATGGTGGATGGTTTATTCATGTAGAGAATATAGTTGAAGCTGAAGCAAAACTCTGAAAAGATATGTAGCTATAATATAATTGATGCAGAAGCATGATGAGCTCTCTAAAAATAAATATAGTTGTGTTATAGCTAATATAGAGACGTGGCTTTGAGTATGTAAGTAGCTTGCAATAAGTTGATGTAGAGGCATGATTAGCTCTGTCAAACTATCGGAGACTTATAAGATGGCTTCAAATAGACAAAGTCTTGTAGTGGGGCTCGACGATATCATCTCGCATAGCGGGGCTCGTAGACTGATGAATAAATATCTAATGGAGGGCTCATAATGAACTATCAGAGTCTTACAAGCTATCCTCGAATAGACGAGAAATTATAACTAAGTTTGACAATACTGAGAAGCGAGGAATAATCATCTCACGATATCAAGAATAAGCATCTAGCAAAGTAGAAAATAAACATCCCACCAATAGATATCAAACTATCAGAGTCTTATATAAGCAGCCTCGGATAGGCGAGGTCTTACAACTAGGCTTGACGATAATAAGAAGCGAGGAATAAATATCTCGCGAAGCCAAAAATAAGCATCTAGTGAGCGGGGAATAAACATCCCGCGAAATAAAAAAATGGGCATATGGCAAAGCAGGGAAAAACATACCCCAAGGCGAGGAATAAATATCTCATGAAGCCATGAATAAGCATTTGACGAGGCAGG